GCGGCCAACCCAGGTTGGATTCCCAGCATCCCATATGGTCCTGAGCACTGCCAAGGGTAATTCCTGAGCGCAGAGCCAGGAGCAATCCCTGTGCATCGCTGGGTGTGACCCAAAAAAAGCAAAAATAATAATAATAATAAATTAAATTAAAAAAAAGAAAAAGATTCGTCCTTGTGGGAGCTGGAGCGATGGCACAGTGGGAAGGGCGTTTACCTTGCATGCGAGCGACCCAGGTTCAATTCCCAGCATCCCACATGGTCCCCCCCAAGCACCGCCAGGAGTAATTTCTGAGTGCAGGAGCCAGGAGTAACTCTTGTGCATTGCTGGGTGTGACCCAAAAAGCAGGGGGGGGGAAAAAAAAAGATTTTTCCTCGTATCTAATAGTGCAATATCCATTCATATATTTATTTAAGCACTGTAGCACTGTCCTCCCATTGTTCATCAATTTGCTCGAGTGGGCACCAGTAATGTCTCACAACAAATTGTGAGACTTGTTGTTACTGTTTTTGGCATATCGAATATGTCACGGGTAGCTTGCCAGGCTTTGCCATGTGGACAAGATACTCTCGATAGTTTGCCAGGCTCTCCAAGAGGGGTGGAGGAATCAAACTCAGGTCGGCCACGTGCAAGACAAACACCCTACCCACTGTGCTATTGCTCCAGCCCATATTTATTTAAAGAATAAATATATTGGGGCTGGAGCAATAGCACAGAGGATAGGGCATTTGCCTTGCATGCGGCCAACCCGAGTTCGATTCCCAGCATCCCATATGGTCCCCTGAGCACCACCAGGAGTGTAGAGCCAGGAGTAACCCCTGAGCATTTCCGGGTGTGACCCAAAAAGCAAAAAAAAAAAAAAAAAAAAAAAAAGAATAAATGTATCACATTTTCTAGACAAACTGTTTTTGCTGATGGATATCTGAGTTATCAGTTTTTTTGGGGGAGGGAGCTTGGGGAAGAGTGGGGGGGAAAGCGTAGGTGGGGTTGGGGCCATACTCAGGGAACTCTGCAACACTGGGGACTAAACTGGGGCCAGTCACACACAAAACAAGTGCCTTAAGTCCCTGACTATCTCTCTGGCCCTGGGTTAGTTTTTGACGCATACAAGTTTTTGATTCATATAACCATCATTGTTAGGAATATTGTTGTTTATTACATCGCCAGCTGTACTGTATTTTTTCTGTTTCTGCAACTTATTTTTCTGCATATCCAATAATGAAATTTCTGGCCTTAGATAAGTTAATTTTCACCTTTTCGCAAGTAACGCCAAGCTGCTTTCCCCAGTGGTTCTATTTTCACTCCCAACAGCAGTGCCGGGCTCCTATTTGCTCTACAGTCCTCGGAATTGTCTCTTTTGGCTCTTGGCAACTTCATGAGTCAATTTCATTTTATCACAACTCTAATTTGTACTTCCTTTGCACTCACATGGTTGAGCAACTTTTAATTTGTCTCACTTGAATTTCCTCATTTGCTCAGGTCTTTTGCCCATTTTCTATTTGGTTGTCATTTTTTCTCTCTTCCAGAACTGTAGGAATTCCCTTCTTTGTTTGGTTTTGGTTTTGGCCACACCTGGTAATACTCAAGGGTTACTCCTGGCTCTGCACTTAGGAATTACTCCTGGTGGAGCTTGGGAGACCATATGGGATGCTGGGGATTGAAGTTGGGTCATATATACAAGTCAAATCAGGCCACAGGAATTCTTATATATTCTGGATAGGTGCCTTTTGTTTTGTATTGCCCCCCCCCCCCACGGGTCCTTGTATTTTTATATTTTTACTCTCCTTGTGGGATATTTCTATCAACAGAAGCTCTGATTTTAAATATAGTTAAACTTATACATAGAGGTGGCAAACTTTTATTTCTGCCTTCTAGGGTCTCCTAGGATCCCAAGACTTAAACTGACGTAGATTAACAAGAAGAATGCAGATTTTTACACATACATAGGAAACCCCATAGGAAAATGCTCTACCAAAGCCAGAAGTGACCACTGTTTTGCCTCCAAACAAAAAGTCTTTTGTAGGTTTCATCACATTGTTCCCCTGACATTACTAAGAACGCTCTTTTTGGTTTTGTGTTTCAGGTTGTGTCTAGGAAACAAAAGCCAGAACTTTATCATAACGGTTAGGAAATCAATGAGAAAGTGTAAATAGTGGCGAGGGTCCTTATTAAACATTGTAGTAAATGATTAAGAGATGGTGTGGCCAAGGGTAGCTCAGTGGCTTAGAACACTGGCTTGGACTGGTGCAGTCTGAGTTAGTCCATACCGCTCCCTGCGGGTGGTCCTGAGGACGCCGTTGTGTATGCCCTACAGCTGTGCTCTTTGAGACCCCCCCCCCGCACTTCCGGCAATTTCTGGCTGAGCCCCAGCCAGCTGTGTGGCAGCACCAGGATGGAAGGAGACAGGCCCTGGCAAGCACGCATGAGTGTGCAGGCACCCCTGGCAGAGTGTGAGCCCTGCTGAGCATCACTCAGGTGTGAGCACGAGGCAGTGATGCTGTCAGGGAGACAGTGGCTTTGGAAGAGCATCTTTCAGTTGATCCCGATAGGCAAAACAGTGGGAAATGAGGGCAGGTGACTTGGATTTTGATGGGAGGTTCTCCACATGGTTGATTGCACGCTGAAACCACGCTGAAACCATGAGAGGGAACCTAAAAAAAAAATACTGAAGCCGGGGTCCACCCTCAGAGATGATTTGGGTGGCATTGTCATGGTTGGCCCATAACCATGTTATTAGTAATAGTAGAAAGACATTCACACGATCACGAGCATCCTGTTGTTCGTCAATTGCCAGTTGATTAGCAGGCACCAGTAACATCTCCTTCGTCCTAGCCCTGAGATTTTAAAAAGTGCCATCTTCAAGGCTCTTTCAGGGTTAGGAGAATGAGACCCATCATTGTTACTGGTATTTGGCATATTGGGTATGCCACGGGGAGTTTGCCAGACTCTGCCGTGTGGGCAGGTTACATTCGGTAGCCTGCCAGGTTGTCCAAAGTAAGAACGAGATAATAAGAAAGACATTGGGAATTTTAAAAGCTCTCTGGGTGATTCGAATAAGATGGAACGTTTGAGAACTCCCCATTGAGAGTCAGTGCCCGTTGTGTCTGTAACGGAAGTATAACTGTATAGGAATAAGAAGTGGGTACCCAAAGCCGACTCTTCACCCCTTGTCTACATAGGATCCCCTAGTATTGTCTCATTTTTTCCCTTGTGTTTCTTGTCAATCACAGACACCCGGGCACTCAGTCAAAGCACACCTTACCAGAAGGAGGGAAGTCTTTGTCAGAGAAGGGGGTTACTGTAGCATCTGCCACCACTTCCAAACCTTCAAACATGAGTGTGGGGCAGGTGGGTGGGGGTAGGGAGATGGCTTGGGTGAAAGGAAGTAATACAAATTACAGGACTCTTTCCAAGGAAGTAGATTATGAACAAGCACAAGTAAGCTACAGTTTGGGGCTGGAGCGATAGTACAAAGGAAGAGGGCTTTTGCCTTGCTCTTGTGGTGGATCCGGGTTTGAAATTCGACATCCCATATGGTCCCCTAGCAAGCCAGGAGTGATCCCTGAACTCAGAGTCAGGAGTGTGCCCTGAGCACTTCTGGGTGTGACCCCCCAAAAAATGAAAAGAAGACTTGAGAAAAATTACCTTGTATTCAGAGAGATATGTGTTTTCATTAAAAAAAATGTTGAAGACACGGTGGGCTAGTACTAGTACAGTGGATAGATCATTTGCCCGGCACATGGCCAACCCAAGCTCCTTCCTGAATCAGGTAAGTTCCCACAGCCCTAGACAGGAGTGATCCCTTAGTGCAGGGCCAGGAGTAAGCCCTGAGCACAGCCGTGTGTGACCCAAAAGCCAGGGGGTGGGAAGGAAAGAAAACAATTTAAATCTTTCAGTGTGATACACATAAAATAAGCAAGATCAGATCTGATCAGAAATACCACAAAACAATTTGAAACTGCTTTTCTCGCAGATTAGAGGTGGTGTCTCAGCGTAAGAATTGAAAAGGTAGACTTTTTTTTTTTTTTTAAGTTTTAAAGATTCCCCGAGGACAATCTGAGAACCTCCCCGGTGCAGGACAAGCAGGTCTGAACGTCTGGGTTCCAGTTCGGGCTCGCCCGCCTTTTTAATGCTGCTTGTGCGCCCCTGGGTCAAAGAGGTTGTATTTCTGAACCGATTTTCTGAGCTGTAAAAGCAGCCGTTAATAATACCTGTCTCGACTCCCTCAAAGGCTACTTTTGGCGTCCAAACGAAGCCACGTATTGCTAACTGTTTCGAAAACCGTCAGGAGCTCCGTAAGAACAAGGCGTTCGAGTTGCGGCAGTGCTGGAATTTATTGCAAAACTGCCAGGCAAAAATGCACCGAGGGAAGCGCTCTCGCGTGGACACCTTTGCACTTCCATCAATGCTAGAACCTCGTTCACGAGTTATCTTGTTCCAGAAAACTTTTCAGCGTCTAGGAGGGAAAAAAAGGAAAAAATACAACTAGCATGGACCGCCAAGGCACTGTGGGGGGGTGGGGGGGAACAACTGCCAAGAAGCTGCGGAAATGCCAAGGCAGAAAGGACTTGGGCGCGGAAGCGCGGCTTCCTGCTGCTTTGAGACTTTCCCGCTGCGCGTCCTACGTGCAGTCACGGGGTTGCCCCACGGCCGTTTCTGAGACCCTAAAAGGCTCGTCGTCGTTCCTGGCCCTCCGCAGGCTGCTGCAGCCAAGAGCTGCCCCGTGCCAGCGCCGCGGGGCCGGCATAAAGCGCGCGCGCTCGACTCCGGCAACCGGCGGGGCCGCGCACGCGCCTGGCCACCCCGCGCACGCGCACACGCGCGCCGCCGCCGCCGCCGCCGCCGCCGCCGCCGCGCCCGGGTCACGTGGGCAGGCGGCGGCGACAGCGAGGCCGAGCGTGGAGGGGGCGGGGGCGGGGGCGGGGCCACTTCCCCTGGCCGGCTCCGCAGCGCCGCGCAGGCGCGTGAGGCCCGCGCCGAGCCCGGCCCCGCCTGCTCGCGCTGAGAGTCAAGATGGCGGCGAGGGGGAGCGGGAGCAGCCCCGGAGCCTGAGCCGCTGACAGGGGCGGACTGCGCGGCGGCGGCCGGAGGAGGATGGCCCGCGGCGCTGGCGCCGGAGCGGACGGCGGTGCGGGCGGCGGCGGCGGCGGCGGCGACGGCGGCGGCCGCGGCCCCAACAGCGGCAGCGGCAGCGGCAGCAGCAGCAGCAGCAGCGGCAGCAGCAGCGGCGGGAGGAGCCTCCGGGGTGAGTGAGTGTCCCTCAGTGTGTGTGTGTGTGTGTGTGAATGTGTGTGTGAGTGTGCATATGTGTACGTGTGTGTGTTCGTGTGAGAGAGAGCGCGCGCGAGAGAGACACACAGCGAGCGCCCCTGAGGGGCGGCCGTGTCCGGGGCTGAGGCGGCCGCGGCTGAGGCGCGAGGTGTGGCCCCAAGTGGCGGTCGCGGCGGCGACGGCGAGGGGCGGGACCCCCGGCGCGGGGCGGCCCGGGGTGGGCGTGAGCGCGGCCCTTCCCGACTCCCCCCCCCCCCGTCCCCCGCCTCGGGGAGAAGTAGTTGCGCGGGTCCGAGCGCCCTCGCGTCCCGCTCTGACAGGTCGGGACGGGAGACAATGCGGAGCCCGCGCGCGATCGCGCGGCCGCGCTCGGCCGGGAGGACAACTTTTCTCTCGGGGTGGTCTCGGCGGAGCCCGGAGCGGCCGCGGGCGCCGCGTCCGTCCGTCTGTCCGTCCGTCCGTGTCCGTCCGTCTGTCCGTCCGTCCCGGCGCCGACGAGAGAAGAGGCCTCCGCAGTTCGGCGCTTCTCGGAACCAAGACCCCTGTTTTTTGTTTGTTTATGCTGCACAACCTCTTTCATGAAAAAAAAAAAAAATAGATTTTCCCCCTCCCCCAAATTGGCAGAAGAACTTGGCGCTTTTTCTTTTTTTTTTCTTTTCTTTCTTTATTTTTTTTTAATTTTTTGAGTTCACAGGATCTTTTGTCTGCATGGCATCCATTTCTGGGAGAGGGCTGCGAAGAAATGACTTATTGGGGGTCGGGGGGTGGGGGGGCGCAGGTCGGCATAAATCCGGGAAGGAAGATCGGAAAAAACGCTCTGGCCAGATTCAGGCACGCTCATGGCAGCTGTGATGCAACTTGTCCAGGAATTTGGTGGCGGTTGGGAGGGGGGTGAGGTGGGGTGGGGTGGGGTGGGGTGGGGTGGGGGACCGACCGCAGCACCTCTTCTTCGTCGTCGTCGGGGCTGGCTGTGTGCCTGGTTCTTCCAGGGCTGGAGAACGAGCCCCGGGAGAAGAGTGACCGGCTGGCTGGGGTGGGGGGGTCGGGGGAGGGGGGAGTGGACCAGAACCAGGTTCTAGGCGGTCCTCCTGCTGCCCCATTTTCAGGGCGCTCTTCTCTCTGCCCTCCTGAGCCTCCTCTGCAGGGATCGGATTCCTCCCCGACACTCCCGGGGGTGGGGGGCCCCCTGTTTGTTTGTTTTGTTGTTGTTGTTGATTTGTATGTGTGTGTGTGTGTGTGTGCAAACAAGTTGAAGGCAGAAACGAGCTTCACTCGGATTCTCGACGACTCCTGTCGATGACCTCAAGTTAACTGATGATTTTTTTTTCTCCCCCCCCAACCTGAATTTAATAAGAAGTGGCCTTCCGATTCGAGTTGTCATGGCCTCTGTCTCCAGTTCCCTCCTCCCCCCCCCCACCCCCAAAGCACAGGATGGCGTCTTGTGGCATGCATTCACTGAATTCCCTCTCTCCAAACTGTCCAAACCTCGTTTGGCTGGCCTCAGGCACCCCCCACGGCGAAGACCGGTTCTTTGTTATCAGGCTGTAATTTTTGGATTTAAAGTACCTGTGGTTGAGTTTGCCAGGTTCTGTCACCGTGGAATTTGTAGGTGCCTCGGCTGGTGTGTTGCCACGAACTGCAACGTCAAATGATTTCTGCTTTCAGAGGCGGTGGCATGGCATTCACAGAAGGAAAGTTGTGCCTGGTGTTCAGGGATCCCAAGGGGGTCATTTTTTGAAGGTTGGCTAGTGTTTGGGGACAGGACGGGTCGCTCTAGGAGAAAAGAATGCTACCTCTAGACTTGGCCCTGGGGAAAGTGAATGTAGTAACCCTAGGAGCCTCAAGACTGCCCCTGTGAGTTCTCTAGGCAGCGGGAGTGGTGTAGGTGTTCAGGTTCGAGGAAGATGAGCCGGGCCTCAGGAGTCCAAAGAACTTCCTGGAACACTTGGGACTCGAACAAGCTGTGAAGGTTTTATAGATTTACCGAGAGATTGGAGTTGGTTACTTTGTGAGGAAACAGCCAGGGCATACTATGGAGGCCGGCTTGGGGGGAGCGGTCATAGAGAAACTGGGGTGAGTGGATGACTCGGTTTCCTTGGGAGTGGAAGGAGGAGGATTTGAGTGCTGGATTAAGGGGATTTGCTTTTTACCTTCTTTATGCAAGACATGAAGGCACCTTTGAAAAATTGGAGGCTGGACGTTACTGGGATAAATGAGCACGATGACTGTGTCAGTGATTTACAGGTTGAGTTAAGAAAATGAACTAGGGATGACTGTAGCTGTTGCCGTTACCTGGATATAGGAAGAGAGGAGACCCCAGACTAGATCAGTGGACAGCACGCACAGCAGCTGTTGTTTTTGTGGTCAAATATACAAGACCATAAAGTTGACCTTTCGAGGAGTTTTAAGTGTCCCAGTCTATGGCGTAAGAACATGTGTACTGTTGTGCAGTCATCACCACCTGTCTCTAAAACTCTCACCTCTCATCTTCTCCAGGGGAAACTATACTTGTTAAACATTAACTCTGTATCCCTTTATCCCCAGCCTTTAGTAACTGTCATTCTACTTCCTGTCTCAGTGGCTGTGACTGTTCTAAGGTACCTCTTGGAACGAAAATTATACATATCCTTCACCTGTTCAGTCATTTAACCTGTTATCCTTTAGGTTCATCTGTGTGTCAGAATATTTTCTTTTTAATGCTAAGCAATACTTTGTGTGTCACACCATATTTTGTTCGAACATTTGTCGTGAGTCTTTGGTTGGCTCCCACCTTTTTGCCATTGTGGGTAATGCAGTGAACATGAGTGTGCCAATACCTGTTTCAGTCTGTGCTTTCATTTCTTACAGGTATATGGCCAGAATTTCATTACTCTTTGGGGCCATACCCAGAGGTCCTCAAGGTTTACTCCTGGCTCTGTGCTCAGTGATCACTCCTGGTGGTATTCGGGGACCATATGGAGTGCCAGGGCTTGAATCCAGGTTGGCTGCATGCAAAGCAAGCGCCTTACCCTCTATACTGTCCTGCCTACTGCATATCCAGATATTTTTATATTCCACCAATGCACGGGTCTCCAGTTACTCTACATTTATATCATTCATATTTTGATAATAGTAATCCTAATGGGTGATCATAATGGGTGTGAAGTGGTATTATTTTGGTTTTCATTTGCTTTTTCCTAGTGACTAGAGATACTGAGCATTTCTTCTTGTGCTTATCAGCTTTTTGTAGATTTTGTTTTACTGTGCTGGGGAGGGAATCCAGGTCTCTTCTTTGCAAGGCATGCACTTTACCAGTGAAGCACATTCCTGGCCTGTGTTTTATACAGGTTTTGGTAAAAAGGTTTTGGGGTGTTTTGATTTGGGTTGGATTTTTTTTACCCATTTTTTTTATTTATTCGAGGGGATGGGGCTGGGGCTGGGGCGACGGGGGATTCTTAGCAATTCTGCATGGGTACACAAACACGCGCTCGCACACACACACACAGAGGGGCTCAGTGTGCTGCTTGGGCCTTGCAGTTCAGGGGATTACCTAAATTAGCCTGGCAGTACTTGGGGACTTTCTTGGCTACAGAACTCTGCTCAGGGGTCTCCAGGACTGTACCCAGTGCTTAGGGAGACAGTGTGGTGTTGGGGGTAGAACTGGGATAGGAAACATGCCAGGAATGTACCTTAATGCCTGTCCATACTGTTGGCCCCTGCCCTTTCTTAAGTGAAGTCTTTTTGCTTTTGTTATTGTAGATCTCAGTATTTTTGCATGTCAGTCCCTTGTCATATATATGATTTGCAGTAGTTCCTACCATTTCTTGCATTGCCATTTCACTCTTGCTAAAGTGTCATTTGATGCTCAAAAGTTTAAATTTGAATAAAACCCAACTTCCCTAGTTTTTCTCTTGCTTCTTTGCTTGTCTTGTTATACCCAAGAACTTGTTGACAAATCCAGTGTCATGAAGTTTTTTTGCTACTGTTCTTTTTTTCCCAAGAGTTGTTTTTATCTCTTATGGTTCGATCTTTGTATGTAAATATTCCACTCTCCAGCAACATTTGCTGAAATTTATTTTTAACAGTCTTAGAATCCATATGGAAAATCATTTGACTGTATATGTGTTCTGTAAGCTCTATTCCAGTGGTTTTCAACCACCAGTCTGCAGGTGTAGAAAGATTGGAAACTACTAGTCTACTCCTTGCTACTTGTTTGTTATGTTTTGGGCCCTTACCCAGCAGTGTTCAGGGCTTACTCCTGGCTCTGCACTCAGGGATCACTCATGACTGGCTCCAGGGACAATATGTGGTGTCAGGGATTGAATCTGGATTGGCCATCTGCAAGGCAAGAACCCTGCCTGCTGCTGTACTATATTGCTTTGACTCCTATCCCTTGGTTCTAAATGCTGGTCTATAGACACTGGTCCACATGCAGGGCAAATGTGTTGCAGGTATAAAAAGCTCGAAGCATGCTGATCTGTTGTATTCTGCTGGGTGTAAGTCTCTCTTTATGCTTTGACTATCACTGCTTTAAAGCAAAGCTCCAAAACTTATTTGCCCCACTGCTCCCCAGTCAAGAGAAAAAAAATCACTGTGTTCACCGAAAAATCTACCTTAAGTAAACGGAGTGTGTGACCCCCCCCAGTTGCCCAGAGAGGGTGATACTCACCACTTTGGGAAAGCTGTGTTTAACAGTAAGTGTTGGAATCAGGAAATGTGAAACCTCCAGTATTAAATTCTTTTTAAGGTTGTTTTGGTTATTTGGTGTCTCTTGAGATTCCATATTTCAGAATGGATTTTTCTGTTTCTTCAAAAAGAGTGACATTTGGAATTTTTTTAATTGGGATTGTATTGAACCTATGTAATGTTTAAGGTTATTTTGATGTTTAACAGAATTAGGTGTTCCAGTCCATAAAAACAATATGTCCATTGTTGCCTTTAATTTCTTCTTACATGCTGTAGTTTTTATAATACAAGATTTTCATCTCTGGGTTA